CTGCTGAGGGACCCCACTACGGGCTGTGCCCAGGGGCCAAGGCTGTGCCAGGCCCGGGTGCCAGCCCTGGGGTTCACTGTGCCCTCCTTGCTCTGCAGCTGTCCATCAACCTGCGCCAAAGCACAGACCTGCCCTGCCACGAACCGAGCCCCCAGCGCCTGCCATGAGCTGCCGAGACAGTGAGGGGCCAGTTGTGCCATCCATGGCGTGGTTGTGTCATCCCTTGTGCCCGTGTCCTGTCCATCATGCGCTGGTGCTGCCCAGCGCACAGTTGTGCCCTCCACTATGTGTTTGTAGGATCCATCAGTCCTGGTTCCGGATGGCATGGAGCTAAAATATTCTTCTCAGTAGCTGGCACAGTGCTGTGTTTTGGATTCAGAATGAGAATAATGTTGATAATGCCAATGTTTTGGTTTTTGCTAAATTGTGTTTCTCCTAAGTCAAGGACCTTTAGGGTTTTTTGTGCCTCGTGCTCTGCCAGTGAGAAGGTTCACAAAAGAAACTAGGAGGGAGCATAGCCTGGGCAGGTGACCCAAACTGGCCAAAAGGATATTCCATACCATAGACCATCATGCCCAGTATATAAACTGGGGAAATTACCTGGGAGGGGCTGATCTGGGTTTGGGAAGGGAGTCTGGCATCAGTCAGCGAGTGGTGAGCAATTGTATTGTTTATCACTTGGGGGTTTTTTCTTTCCCTTTTTTTTATTATTATTACTTACCATTATTATTGTATTTTACTTTGTTTTCTATTATTAAACTGTTCTTATCTCAGCCTACAGGTTTCACTTTTGATTCTCCTCCCTATTCCATGGGGTTGGAAGGGAGAAAAAGGGGGAATGAGCGAGTGGCTGTGGTGCCTAATTTCCATCTGGCCTTAAACCATGACACTGTCACCCAGTTTGTGCCGTCCATCCATGACAGGTCTCACACCGGTGCTGCTGCACGGAGTTGCCATGGCGCTGCACACCATGCTGGTGACAGGGATGAAACCAGAGTCAGCGGGGCCATTGCAGGATGTGCTTCCCCAGGAGCTTTGTCCCAGCCTGTGCCAGCTCCTGCCATGCTCCTGCCACTCAGAACTCGGCTGTGCTCCAGCACCAGGCACCAGCGGCCATCACTGGGGGGCTGAGACTTGCTCGGGGCAACTTTCCAGGAAGCCCAGGTGGAGAGGCCCCTTGGACCCCCTCCATCCATCCCCATCAGAGAGCTGTGACTTGCAGCAGCCACGGCAGGGATGCCCTGTCCCTCCCCTCCCTGCTCTCAGCACCCTTTGCACCTGAAGAGCAAACAGTAAGTATGTGCTAATGGTTATTCTGCCTCCCAAAAAGGCAACCGGGAACACAATTCCCCTGGACCCTCTCTCCCCCCCCCCTCCACGTGCTGCAGCATCTCCCTGCTCCCGGAGTGACCTCTCTCACCTCTGGTGGCCACCGAGGTTAGCAGGGTCCTCTGTGGAAAGGCCTTTTTCCTCCCTGAAATTTTAGCAGCAAACAAACTGCAAGAGTTCCCTAATTTTTCGTAAATAATATAAAATAACTCTGCTCATTTGAAGCGATCCCTGGCAGGATCATGCCAGCTTAGCTGCCTGAGCCTCTGCCTCTCTTGTAGACAGGTCACTGCCCCTGCTTATGGCTTCAGAGGAGGCTGCTGACCCAGGAGTGCAACCCACCACCCCTGACAACCCCATCCTCACCACCACCACCACCCCTGCAGCCCCTGCAGCCTCCACAGCCCCCACCAACCCTCCCAGCTGCAAGAAGAGCCTGAAGAAAAAGAAGGCGGCCAAGGCCAGGGGAGATGCCCAGGAGGGAGGTGATGAGGTGGTGGGGAGGGTGGCTGCGATTGAGGGGCTCACACAAGCCGGGCACCAGGCACTGGCACTGGGTGCCGGGCAGGAGGCAGTGGGGTGCTTCAGGAAGGCCCTGCTCCTCTCCAGGGACATGGTGAGCACTCAGCTCCACAAGGCTTGTGCCTTCAACCTGGGGGCTGCCTACGTGGAGACCGGGAAGCCCAGAAAGGCCCTTAAGTTCCTCCTCCAGTCCCAGCCCTTGGAGAGGGAGAATGGGGAGCACTCGGGGGACCTTTATTTCAACGTTGGGGCAGCTCAGGAAGGGCTTCAGGACTTTCCTAAGGCTTGTTTTGGCAAAGCCACCGGCCACAATGACGTGTCACAGGCTGGTGGTCGAGCAGGGACCCACATGCAGATGGGCTGCTGCTACCTGGGGATGCGGGAGCCAGCACGAGCCGCGCGGTGCTTCCTGGACGCGGCACAGACCTACACGGCAGCGGAGAGCCCTGAGGCCGCGGCGGTGGCTCTGAGCAGGGCGAGTGGCTCCATGCTGCAGAGCCGGCGGTTCCGAGCGGCAGAGATCGCAGGGGTCCTCGCCCAGTGCCACTCGCTCTGTGAGACCATCCCCGACCCGGCCCTGCGAGGTAACGCTGTGCTGCACCCTTTGCTCTCAAGGGTCCCAGGTAGCAGCTCCTGCACCCACTTTTCCTCTATGCCCCCAGGGAAACTCTATAACGACATCGGCCTGGGTTACTCCCAGCTCCACATCTTCTCCCTGGCTGTTGAGAGCTTCGAGCGGGCCCTCGGGCTCTGCGGAGGGGAGCTGGAGCGGGACCGGCACCGGGAGGCTGCACTGCTGCAGAACCTGGGTGCTGCCCACAATGCCCTGTGCAGTTTTGGCACAGCGCTGGGCTGGCACCAGCGCGCGGCCGCGCTGCACGGTAGGTTACACCGCTGTCTCCGGCTCTTGGCTTTGCTGGATGTACTGGCTTGGGATGGAGCCCCGTGTTCCCAATTCCAGGCACTCTGGGGAAACGGAGGGCGCAGGGGCAGTGCCTCGGGAATCTGGCGTACGCCTGGAGCCGGCTCGGGAACCATGAGGCTGCCGCGGAGAACTACCTGCACGCCCTGCAAGCCTTCCGGGACTCAGGTAAGGGGAGGCACAGGCAAACCCCCCCGGGCAGTCTGCAGCATCCAGGTGCTGAGTGGACTCAAGCTGGGTGATGCTCCCTGCCCAGGACCTCGACTACACTGTGCTGGGACTGATGCTGCCTTTTGCTTCCCAGGGGACGTGCAGGGGCAGTGGCAAGCATGTGAGGGGCTGGGCACAGCCTGCTTCCACCTGGGAGACCCCCAGAAAGCCATCGGGCACTACCAGGAGGCCCTGACTTTGCTTTCCCACTGCCAGGTAAGACACACTGGGGAACCTCCAGGGCCAAACTCTGCTATGCATCACGGGTGCCCCAGCCCTGGGGACAGACCCACTCAGCCCATCATCTATGTGGGCTCTGTCCACCACAGGACACCCCCAGAGCTGCCCGAGAGCGGGTTGTGCACAAGCTCACGGATGCCATCCAGCACCGGCTCTGCCTCGGTGGCCGCCTCTCCCAGCGTGGGGGCCGAGTGCCCACCCCAGCTCTGGTGAGCATCACCCTGGGTGTGGGACACACAGGCGGGCTGGGGGCTGGGACCCCAGTAGGGGTTGGTGGCAAGAGGTGCCCAGGTTTGGTGGGCAGAGGGACACACATATGAGCCCCAGCCATCCCTCCATCCCAGCAGGAGCTCAGCCAGCTGCGGTTTTGCTCCATGCTGCCCCAAGCCAGTGGGACACGGGTCCAGAGGAGTGAGGTGTGAGTAGGAAAGCTGCTGTCCTCTCCCTCCTTCCTCTGGGATGAGTTCCCAGCATCACCCAGGAGACAAACCTTCCTTCCTTCACTCCAGGTCCTTTGGAGGGAAAGCGCAGGACCAGCTCTACATATATGTGCCAGGAGCACATCCCAAGCATTCAGGTGAGAGGGTTAGAACTAAATGCAGGATTGAGCCATCCAGGAGATTCCTGCCGGAGCTGAGGCTTCAACACAGTCTGATACTCTGCTCTTGCCTGTTTGTGCTTCCTCCCCGGAGGCAGAGGAGTGGCCCTGACTGATGGCCTCGCGCTGGAGCCCTGCAACCCACACAGCATCCTGAGCACCTCTGGGGAGGATGAGGGTGGTCCCGATGTGGCTCCAGGGTGTCTGAGTCAGCCCCAGGCTAACAGGTAGGTGGGCGAGAGGGAGTCACCCCAGTACAGCCCCTGGTACCCAAATACCCCTGCAGCAGATGTAGCACAATGAGTGGTGTCTCTCTGGGGACTTCTCCTGGTTAATGGGGAAAATCCAGAGATTTTTAAAGATCCGTAATTCTGGGGAGTGGGTTTGGGGTACTTCCAGCTGGAACCTGGGGAGGGCTCGGTCACGATGGGATGGGGAGAGTTTGTCACGCAGATGCTCTCTGCCACCTCCACATGAGCTGCACTTTGTTGCCAGTAACAGGACCACCCCCCTGTGCCTGGCCCCACCACCCCACACAGACCTCCAGCCATGTAAGTATGGAACACAACCGGAGTGTCACTTCCGTGGAGAGCCCAGGGCTGCAGGTCTCACACCGTGTTCCACAGGGCATCGTCACCACCAAACCCTCCAGCCAAGGCCTCTGGAGCGGTAGGTGATGCCCTGGGGGAGTGGACAAGGGAGCAGACAGGAGGTTTGGACTCCAGGGTGTCCTCTGAGAGGAGGGTTCAGGGGTAGAGACCCCCAGCAGGGCTTGGGACACCCCTGATCCTTGCAATGGACTAATCTCCAAGCCAAAAATCACAGGGCCTGGGGATTTTGACACCTTGTAGCCAACATCAAACCCTACCCTGTGGATGGGGCAGTAGATCTGAGGGTAGTTTCCAGCACCCCAGTATGAACCTCCTGCCTGCTACTGCCTAAAGGGGTTTCAGGAGGACTGGAGAGGGACTTTGGACAAGGGCCTGGAGTGACAGGACATGGGAAAATGGCTTTCCACTGCCAGAGGGCAGGGTTAGATGGGATATGGGGAAGAAATTCCTGGCTGTGAGGGTGGTGAGGCCCTGGCACAGGTTGCCCGGAGAAGCTGTGGCTGCCTCATCCCTGGAAGTGTCCAAGGCCAGGTTGGACGGGGCTTGGAGCAACCTGGTCTAGTGGAAGGTGTCCCTGCTCATGACAGGAGGGTGGGACAAGATGGGATTTAAGGTCCCTTCCCACTCAAAGCAGTCTATGACTCCATAACTCCATTTTGCTTCCCGCTGGACACCCCCAAAACCTGTGATGCCTCCGTGATCTCGCAGCCCTGGCGATGACCCCACTGCCCCTGTCACCAGCTGCTGGCCCCGCCGAGAACCTCGCAGAGGGACCAGGACACTGTCCCTTGTCTGCAACCTTGTGTGACCAGCAGGACACGTGGGAGATGCCGTTTCTCGGGAGGGCTCTCCAGCCCCAAGTTGGAGCAGGGGGGCCCATTGAGCCAACACGGTTTTGACCCCACTCTGTTTCTGCCATCCTTTCCATGCCAGGGTCTGGCGGTGAGGGGAATGAAGGGACTGGAGGGACCGCGGGGGTCCCGGGGGAGACTGGAGTGGAAGGAGGGGCTGGATGGACCGCGGGGTCCTAGACGAGGGCTGGAGGGACCGCGGAGGTCCCCAGGGGACTGGAGAGGGCGGAGGGGGCTG